CCCTCCCCCAGCCCCCCCCGCCGCCGGGAGCCTGCCCAGGGCCAGCCGAGAGCGGGCCAGGGCCAGGGCCAGGGCCAGGGCCAGGGCCAGGGGCTTTGGGGCGACGCGGCGCTGCCAGCCCACCCTGGGCACGACGAGGCGGCTCCGCGCTGCAACTGCGCCGAGGAAAGGAGGCTGGGCAAGCAGCACGGTGGTGCGGAGGTGGAGAGGCAGGAGAGGTGCCCCGGCTCGACTGGAAAGGCTGGTTCCGGAGGCCCGGGCACCCACCCCGTGCCCCCCGCGCGGGCCTGGAGGGACGGATGCCTCGGCCGGTCTCTCAGGTGCAGGGCCCATCACAAGCCCCCCCGCTTACTTGCCGCAGAGCCGGCTGGGGCAGGGATTTGCAGCGACGGGACCTAGCCCTGGTTAGCTCTGCACCTCCCGCAGCAGCGAGGCCAGGCTGGCACGCTTGGGTTTCTTTCTCAGGACAAGACGTGGCTTGTTACAAGTCTGCGGCTCACGCAACGTGCCTGCAGCTGGCACAGGCCTGCTAACACGGGGTTTCCACGGGAAACACGGGCCCGCGCAGCAGCTCTGGAGACAGGCAACAGGAGCACTGGTTTCCTGCGTGCGCGGGCAGGGGACCCCGGCGCTTTGCCTCCACCCAGGTGCTCGTGGCTTAGACGGCCGCGCTGGGCGCGAGCGTATCAGCAGCTGCAGAGCAGCTCTACGAGTAAACACGTCTCGGAGGTGAAGGGCGCACGGGTAAAGGGCACTGCAGGCGTGTTTCCTGGAAGGCTGGGAAAGGGGAACAGAGGACAAGACCGTGGAGAAAACCGTCTCCACATCGGAGGCCTGCAGGAGCGCAACAGAGAGCTGGGATGTGGTGCGAGGCGAGGGGAAAAGATCCAGGAACCACTATAAGAAACAAGGAGCAATGGGCTCCAGTTGCAGAAGTTGAGGTTGGATATTAAGAAAGACTCTCACTAGGATAAAGCACAGGAACAGGTCACCCAGAGAGGTGGGATCTCCACCCTTGGAGGTTTTTCAGGCCCAGTACACAAAGCCTTGGCTGGGATGACGCAGTCGGGGCTGGGGCTGCTTTGGGCAGCGGGTTGCACTAGATGTGACCTCCCGAGCTCCCTTCCACCTGAACTTTCTGAGTCCAGAGCCCAGGTCTGCAGAGGCCATCGCCATTCAGTAGCTGGCTGTTCTCCAGCAGCTCGCCCTTGGCGACTGCATCCTGAGACAGCCCGGATGGGCCGAGGCTTCGGGACATACAGCTGCGCGTAGGGCAGAAGAGGGCAGGGCAGCTGCACTTCGCAGTGCCCTGCTCCGTGGCGGGGACTCCTGGGAGCCAGGCCTTGCCCAAACTGGGCTCTCAGAAGAGGCTTCTCTTCCTAGGCACTGCCCCAGCTTTGTCCTATAACCTCCTTCACCCTCCTCTGCCGGCCTGAGCCCCAGGCAGCACCTGGCTATGAAACCCAGAGTCCAGGCACCAAGAAAGTGTCATTTCCATGCCCGTGGAAGTGCATTGGAAACCCTTTGCGGCCTGGTTGCAAGGAATACAGCGTCTTCACTGGAGGGGAGGGAGAGAAGAAACCCTGGCCCCCTTCAAACAGCAGCGTGTCATTCATGGTTAACATTACAAGCTCCCTTGTGAGCTTCAGCCTGAGATCTTGTCCCCTCTCAGAGGGCCGAGCAGCATGGCCAAGCCGTGCATGTGGGTGGGCAGCACGTGCCAGGCTGCGGAAAAAAGGTCACTATGCCTGCCGCCTCCTGGGACATACAGCTGCTGCTGAAGGCAGAGCCTCGGTGCAGGCTGCTCCCCAGAGCGGGGCTGCACAGACCGTCTCGGTTTCCTGCAGGGCCCTCGGGGCTGGCTGCGGGCTCAGATTTTGTTCAGGGAGTGAAACGATCGAGGCGATGACACTGCTGGGGTGGAAGAGGCAGCCCGGCCAGGTGTGCAGGGAGCTCGGCAGTGCCTGGCGGAGGCACTCACCCTGCTTGCAGGCAAGCCCTGCTGGGAAAATGTGAAGTATGCGTGCGCTGCTGAGTCACAAAGGGTTTCTTGCCTCCTGGGCTTTGGAGACGTGGGAGGGGCTGGGGGAGAGGATTTGGGGCTGGTCTGGGCTGTCCCTGGGGAGACCCTTAGCAGCTAGGGGAGTTGGCCTAAGCCGGGCTCCGCTGTTTTCTTTGCTAAGAAAGCCCCGCTCTGAGAAGGGGATTTAGGCTTTACAGGGGATTCACCAGGTGATGGATTGGATTTCTAGCCTGTTCTACACTGAAGGCTCAGAGCAGCTCCCAGTGCTCCTCCGGACACATGGCGCCCAGGAAAGACACCTGCTCCCAGCCACACAGCCTTGCTCCGTCCCGTGAGCCAGCCTCCGCTCAGCATGGCGGGGAGGGAGCTAACAACCCGATCGGAGCCGCTCATGTCCTTGGACAGGTGTGAGCACCGCCGGCCCAGGCCCAACTCACCGCTTCGTTCCTGCTAAGCACGCCAACGTTGCGGCAGTGAGCAGGGCGGGGGGGCGATGCCTGCATGGGTCTCGGGACCCCCGGTTCACGCCTGTAGCCAGTTGTATCAGGAGGTCATAAGGTGCAAGCACAAAAGCTGCGGCACCTGGTTCTGATCTTCCCGGGAAGGCTGCTGCTTTTTTGGTGCTTCTCCACCAACTACGACAGTAAACCCCCTTTCCAAGACACCCGCATAACACAGTCACCCCTCGTGAGGAGCAAGTCAGCACCCCGGTAAACGCTCCTAAGGGACACTCCGCTGATAGCAGTGCCCTGAGCTGCAGAACCACCTCCAACCTCCTAACCTGCTGCAACCAGGTCGGGGGTTTCTCCAACCACCTACCTCAGCGCTCGCACAGTCTGGACACAGTCCTGTGCCTTCGGCTGGCATCGCAATAGCTCTCCCCGCAGCCAGGAGTTTCACGCACGCAGACACAGCGCGCGCACACACGTTCTACCACGTTTGCGAAGGCTTTCCCGGCCACACAGCCAAGTTGCGAGACTATTTCACGACTGATATCCCTACGACTGTAGCATCCAAACTCCAGGTCAGGACCGGTGCCCTTGTGCTGGTGCTGTTCAAACCCACAGAAAAAACGCACTCCCTGCTCTAGAGCAGAGACAAGCAGCTTCCCACTTGCAAGCCTGAAACCACGTGCGAGCCATCAGGATGCACAAAGACTTCCCTACCAGGTCGTGCCCATCTCCAGAGCAGACCTCCTGCTTTCCGCTTCGTCGCAGGGGTATGCAAAGCCAGAAAACAGAGGCAGCAGCACACAAAAGCCCCCCGAGCGCACCACACTGATTGATTACAGAATATACAGCGATGGTGCTCAAATGCCCAAGCAGAGCCAGCGGTGTGATTTTTTTGCCTCTGATTCATCAGGAGAATTTCTCAACCAAAACTCACCCGCCTCAGCTTCCTGCCTGACTGCCGCCCGCCTGACCAGCAGAAGCCTACAAAGCAAAAAGAGAGAGAGCGGTCACTTTATGGACCTTGGGTGCTTTGGCAGAAGAGCAACCTGAGAGCACGCACGCAGGGAATCGGCGCTCTGGCACCAGGGTGGAAGCGGACCACGCCGGGGCCAGGAAGGAACCGCATCCTGTCGGCTCAGCTTGCAGCCACTTATCTCCCCAAGCCACACACCGTCGGAAAAGCCAACTTAAAGGAAGGCCATCTTGAATGATGGCCCTGTGGGAAGTCTTGGCCCAGCAGAAGGATTTCCACTGGTGATGTCCTTTGTCTTGCCCACTCATCCTGTGATGACTACCCACTTGCTTCAGGTCCCCGAGCCCGGCGCTTCAGGGAGTGACGCAGCTGGGGCAAGACAGGCTGGAACCAGAAGTATCGGCGTGATTCTCCGAGTCCCCTTCTGTTTGGAGAGGGCTGGAGCGGTGGTCTCCAGACAGACGAGCCGCGGCAGCGACTACCTGGAGGCCAGCAGGCAGCAGCTTGGAAACGGGGAATCAGCGGTTTAGTATCAAGCAGCCCCTCCGTCCAGACCGAGCCCCTGTTCTCCCCAGCAAGAGCCGGGATGCCACAGCAGCACCCAGGAGGCTCTGAGCAAGGGTCCCCGCTCTCCAGCTGGACTTGATGCAGTAAACCTGGCAGCACGGGCCCACCTGGGCGTAAGTCCATGCGGCTTCAAGTCCCGGCCAGCCCCAGCCCCCGGCTCTCGCCTGCTGGGGACAGGGTGAATGGATCCTCTTCGGCTCAAGAGCCTCAGAGAGGAGCAGGGGCCGGTCGCTGGGGCAGGGACCACGTCTGTGTTGTGCCTCACACAACGTGGTCCTGGTTCGTGACCAGGGCTCCTGGACCCTACAGTAATGCAGCACCAGAGCTCGGCCTGCCTCAGTGGGTCCCGCCCTGGGAGCGGTCTTCTCTGCACCTGGCCTCTAGCACTCGCTGCCAGCTGCCCTGCTCTTAGCCCCAAAGAAAGCACTGGCAGAAGGAAGGTCAGCAAAGCAGCGTGAGCGCGGCAGCCCGGCCCACGTCCCTGCTAAAACACTGCAAACATTTTATTTTACGAGCTGCTGTTCGGGCCGATGCTGAGAAGAGCCATTTGCAACAGCCCGGCTTTGCCTGCTGTAGCAGCTACAGCCCGAACGCGGGGTGTAGCGGCAGGTCTTAAACCACTGGGACTTGCCAGGAGATCTCTGTCGACCCACAGTCCTGCCACGTAAGCGCTGGGGGCCACCGGCAGCTGCTGGGTAGGGCCGTACAAGGGAGCCAACAGGAAAAGTCTGATTTGCACAAATCCTCTCTTCACATGTGGAGCAAATAAACGAGGGCTGGGAGAGGATTAAGTGCTCTGTCCAAGGTCACACAGTGCATGAACCCAGGTGTCCTGAATCCTAGCCCGACTGCTCTGAACAGAAGAGCATCCTTTTCTGGGCGAGATGAGGGCTCTGGGTCGCCAAGCACGAAGGAAAGACCTCCATGCCCGGAGCTGCCTGCAGCTTGGGGAATAAGAAAACCCTGCCGACTCCCGGACACAAAACACGACAGCCAGCTAGTCCAGCTGAGACCTTCCAGCACTTTGCTGCTATCAAACTTCGTGCCCACGTCGGCTTGTAGGGCAGGAGCCTGTTTGGAGCCCCGCTGCAGGCTTAGGACTAGGTCGTCTTTGCAGTGACATGGCAGAAGACGGAAGCTCAGCCCAGCTTGCCATGATAATACTCCGTTTTCAACAGCTAAAATTTAGCCTTAAGCAAGCTAACACTGAAAAACAGACAGGCAAGAAGGGGCAAACCCGTCTGGATGATATTTAATAGCATCTCCCTCCCCAGCACCGCGTTGGGAAACTGGAAAAGGATTTAACTGGTCACCTGTTGCTTCTGTTAGCGTCTCTTTGGCTGCCTCTGCAATTCTGGCCGGCCACAAGCATGCAGATGCCTCCCCGAGGTACGAGACTCTGCCTTGCTATACCGGGAGCTGGAAGTACCGGACCTGGGGAGAAAACGTTCAGAGATTTCCTGCCCTGACTGACCAAATCCCGTGCTCAGAAGTGCTCGAGTACATCAGCACAGCTCACCTGGACCCATGCAGCCTTTCCTGCTGCCGGGCACCAGCTGCAGGCTAGCAGCATCCTAAGCTGGAAGGAGCCAACATAGCCCCTTCTGCCGGTAGACTGACAGGATGAACGCAGGGCTGACATGGGTGCGACGCTCAGTCTCGGCAGAACCGACATTTTAACTCACGTGAGCGCTACGGCTCGCGGAGAGGACGTGCTGTACCGGGCAGCAACTCCGAAGGGCACAGGAAGTTCCAGCAACCCTCACCGAGCCCCCGCCATCGCAACCAGCTCATCCTTGCGGCAACCAAGGAAGGACCCGTTGCCCGGCCCCTCCACAGAGCCGGAGAGACCCCCAGCCACATGAGGATGAAAGGTCAGACGCGCTGCTGGGCACTTACCTGCTGCAGCAATACAAACCACCGGCAGAGCGAACAGTGTACGTCGGCCCGGTATGAACTGCTTTCTCCTCACCGACCTGTCTGGGAGCAGGTGCAAGCTGCGATTGAGACAACCTCTCCAGGGCCACAGAGGAAGGCAGTGTGGGAGCTGGGATTAAAGCTCAGGAGGCCCTGGGTCCTGAACTCAGACCATGCCTCCCGCTCTTCAAAATCAGCTCTGCTCTCGCTGGGGCAGAGCAGACGCGCGCGTGTCGTCAGGGCAGCCCTGTCCAGACCCGTTCTGTTGGCTTTTAAGCTTTACAGTGCACATTAACGTTATGCTAGACATTACTTCATAGAAAAGCAGGGCTACAGGTCACCTTTTCTGAACCTCTGATCATTTTTGTTACTCTCTTCCAGACACCCTTCAATTTGCCGAGGCCCCCTGAGCTGTGTATTGGATTCTGGCTGAGACCTCGTGAGATCTGCATGGCAGGGAATAACGACCTCCTGTGCACAGGAAACGCTCCTGGCAATGCTGCTTCTCGGGTCAAAACGTCCCCCTTTTTGCAGCAGCTGCCCACTGCGGACTCAGATGCAGTTTGCGACCTGCTGCAGCCCCCGCTCCTTTGCTGCAGTAGTGGGGCGTAGCCAGGGGGTTGCATTTGTGCAGTGCATTTTGCCTTCCAAGGGCTGCATCGTCTAATTAGCTTTATTGCATTTCATTTGGTCTGCTTCAATTTCCAGAGATCACTTGGGAGGCTGGTCCCGTCCGCCCGAGTGCCAGCAATCCCCTTCCAGCTTGGCGCGGCCACCCAGTTCGCAAGCATATTTCTCTGATCCATTGTACAAGTGGTTAATTAAAACACGGACGCTGGCCAGGCCCAGACCAGACCCCTGGAAGGACACGACTCACCCCGCCGCCTGCTTTGACGGCCAACCGTGAATAAGCATGCTCTGACCGTGTGGGTTGGAAACCTGGTGTGCGCCCACGTCTTGGGGATGTCACCTCGCCCGTGTTTCCTTACTGACTCGGGAGAACGCAGAACGGAGGAAACCTCCTTGCTGACGTCAAATGCAACACGTTTACCTCTTCCCCGTTACCCAGGTATTTTATCAAAGGAAATTACACTGGTTTGATACAACTCATTTCTGGCAAGCCCTTCCAGGTCCCTTCTGCTCTGTGATTCCCTGCGATTCAATGCATGCTGTCTGTGGGCTATGACTCAATCAGCTGCATGCTAAAAAAGGATCTTTTTTACAAATCATTTGTCCTTGCATCTCCCCCAGGTATGGGAGTTAGGCTGCCCGCTCTTGGGTCCCCCCTTTCTTCAACCTAAGGACTATGCTTGTGCTTCTCCAGTCTACTGGGACTATACGTACTCTACAAGTTTTTAAAGGCAATTGCTCATGGTTCAGCAATTGCTCCACCCCGTCCCTTCAGGAATCCAGGATGAATGTCACCAAGCCCTGCCAACTTGAATACATTTAATAGTCTTTACCTTGCTCTCTCCAGAATCTGTTTTGCGCTGCTTTCCTTTAGGTAAAATGCACTGAATCAAGTATCTGGTCATAATGAACCCTTTTTTTTTCCTAAGCTAATCTTTACATCGTCCATTTGTTCTCCTCTGTTAAGGACCACATCTACACTGCCAGTGTGCAGAACCTCTTCTTTCTGCTTTACCTGCTTCTTGCTGGTTGTGACTCATTTCCGTGCCTCAGCTTCTCTGAGTCGATCCCCATTGCTAGCCACGTGTCCTCGCCTCCGCTTTGTGTTCGATTGCTCTTTGGTTTTCTTGGCCATTTAAGAGGTCGAGGGGCTGCCACACTGGCCCTTGCACTGTTTCCTATCTCCTCCACATCAGGCTATTGTGCCTTTTCGGGCTTTCAGGAATGACCAGCTTTCCTGACCTCCTGTATCCAATTCTCTTCCCCAGATATCCTATCTGCCACTTCCTGAGTCTGTTGAAATCTATTATCTTGCCTCTGCTACTCTCACTTCCTTCTCACAATCGTGCTCACTTCCACCCACGTCTCTGGGATGCCAACTCACCCGTGCCTCCAGCTGCATCCTGGGGATACACGTTCTTGCTAGTTATTTCCCAAATCCCGGCATTTGTGTCTGGACACATCTCAGATGTTTGTTTGGGTGCCCCGCGAGTCTCTCTTGCCCCTCCTGTGCCCCCATTGCAACCCCAGCCCCGGGACCAGGTCACTTGTTTTCCCTCTCTCACCTGCGGGCTTTTGTCACTGGCTGCCTCAAATCCTCCTCCGACGCCCTTCTCACTAGGTCGGCAAGTCTGCGTCCAAGACCGTCCTTCCTCTTCTGTACGAGATGGACTCCCTCTCTCTCCAGCGGTCTTCCTTGGCAGGCCAGCATCCTGCAGCCAAGGCCCCCAAAGGCCTCCTGTCTACTGGCTCCGTCAGCAAGGAATTAAATGACAAGAGTGTCTGCTACAAGCTGGCACGCACCAGCTGGAAACGACGGGGAAGGAGGACTGGGGCGTATCAGTCGGTCACAGGACGACACAAAGCCACCGGCTCTGTGCAACCAGGAAAACAGAAAGAGCAATCCTTGGCTGCATCTGGCATGGCTCCCCGTCTCTCTAGATATCCTGGAGACATTAATGGCATTATGCCAGGCCCTTGTAAGGCTGCATCTGGCACGCCAGGTGCCATTTTTGCGACCTGCATTCACGAAAGACGAATTCAAACTAGACCGGGGCAGACTGGGGCCTTCTAGGAGAACATGGGGACTGTGTGAGAGGAAATTAAGGGTACGTGACTTGCTTGGCTTAGCAAGACAACAGTGGAGCGGGGCTACGACCGCTCTCCGTAAATACACCAGGAAGGCAAGAAACAAGGGGCACCGTCAGAAACAAAAAGGCTTTATTAGAAATATTACACAGATTCTGCATCAGACGCTTTAATAATGTTAATCTTTAAATACATCTGTACTAGCACGTCCAACCCTGGCAATGCCTAGCTATATACATTCTAATGTGCTCTTCGTATAAATTAGGTCGTGCTGTAACGACGGGATCCGACGGACAGAGCTAAAAATCACTCGGCGAGTAGAGGTGGTTCTTCCATTCGGCACAGTTCTAGCCTGGGCCGAAACCCAACAAACAAAAAGCAATAAAAGTGCTGCGTTCAGCACGGCCCAGCAAAGCTTGGCACGTGTGCAAGTTAAAAAGGAAGAGACCCTTGGTTATGACACTGGGTAATGGTGGGTGGGTTACAGCCTGGACTCTGTGAAGACGCGGGTCTCTGGGCTCGCCTGGCACTAGCTAGAATTGGTGGAAAGCAAGCGAGGTTCAGAGAGGCAGAAGTTATTGCTGGGTCTGGGAAGTGTCACGGTGCTCGGTGGCCTGAGCCCTGCCAGACGAAAGTCTCTTTTGGCAGGAAAACGTGGTCTCATGCTCCATAACACGTGGGGGAAGCTCCGAGAGCGATGACTTCACCGGACGTTTCCTGGAAGAAGTGCTGGTGCCGGGAGCAGAGGAAGAGAAAGCTCCAAAATCTGGGACCTCTCTCCTGCTCTGCGACCAGGGAAGGCGGGAGGGCACGCGTGGAGGCCAGCGGCAGATTTCCGGGGCCGACAGAGGCAGGATCACCCACGGAGGCCCGAGGTGTCTGGAGCTTGCTCCTGTCTGGGCGGGAAGCCCGGCAGCGTGGTGGCACTCTGGGGTGTAAAGGTTTGCAAGAGCCATCGGGGCCTGAGACAAGCAGCAGAAATGCTTGGCTGGCTTCTCCCTCCTCCCAACCAAACACTGCTAGGACTTGTGCCGAGGGGGAAGGTGCCTCAGCGAGAGGGGACTGGGGAAGTCGAGCAGGCTCACGCCACCGCTCAGCTCGCAATCCAGGGGCCTGCCCTTCCGCCTTTCTTGCTGCCGCGTTGGACGAAGGGGGCGGATTCTGCCTCCGATCCCTCCGTGTTGCATCGCGGGTCAGGGGGTTGAGCGCATGGGGCGGGAGCCTGGCAAAGGCACGCGCGTCCCCTTCGGCACCCCAGCGTCTACGGTCGCTCTGAGGAGCGCAAGAGGGGCAACGACCAAGAAGCCAAACAGCCAACAGAAGGGTCATCCAACGGGAACTCCCGGCCTACGGACATCCGCCTCCTCCGCTCTCTCGCACACGCCCAGCCCTGTCTACCCCCTCCCTTCACACCCTTCACATCTACTCGAGCTCTCGAACGGGTTCCCAAACAGCACGTCAGCATTACTACAAGCCCTCTCCTCCTTCCTGCCAGGCCCAGGGCCCGGCCTGATTTCCCAAATCCCCCTCTGCCTTCCCCTCCTGCATGCCGCGAGCACTGGCACCTTCAGCGGCTCCAGGAGCAAGATGCTGCACATCCCGCACCCTTCGTCTCCCTGCTTCCCCAGCGACGGCTGCCCGAGAGCTACGCGGCACGGTCCCTTCACCCAGACCTCCTGCGACCGCCTCTCCTCATCTGCCAAGCCCAAGCCAACGTGCAGAGTTCACCTGAATTTCTAGCGTCTTGCCAGCGCTGACTAAATGCACAGGCACGCATGCAAGAAGTACATCCGAGGGGATGCGTGGGCCTCAGCGGTGTTTGCTTTGGGAAGGATGTTACCTTCAAGAGGCAAAGCCATGGAGGAGCAATGCAGGTCACGCCCCGCTCTTGCCGGGAAAAACCTCTCGCCCCCGTTGCGCACTCTGTACACGGTTATTCAAGGACTGTTTTACATTCCTCACTTGCCGGTCTTATCAGGCCTGGTTCCCGTAACCCTGAACCTGTAAAGCCTCAGTCAGCAGAGCCTAGGCTTTCAGAGACCGCTAGTCTTCCCGAGTGCTTCAATTTCTGGGCGCCTAAGTTGAGACGCCCTAAAAGGGCCTTGTTTCCTACGGGTCGAACGCGCAGCGCTTCCTGCAGTTCAAGCCCGTTCGTGGTATCTGGTCGTGGCTATCCAGGAATGGAAGCACAGGAAACCATCACCCGGCTCTGAAAAGCGAGATCCGCGGTGGCAGCTGTGCAAACCTCGAAGGGAATCAAAACTCAAAGGTAATACTTGTAAAACCAACAGCCCCTGTCCCCACAAAGCCCCCATGGAAAGGGCTTTTCTAGATCGCAGAATGGCAGACCTCAAGGGGTCCATCCGCAATGCTAGAGCCCGCTGGGACGCCGAGTCTCCAGCCACCTTTCCCCTGGGAAAATCTTCTATTTCTGGGCCTCTAGGTTGGAAGGTAGCTGACTTGAAGTGACGTTTTTATTTACAGAAACCTTGTCTCTGGGCCACGTCTGAGCTCCGCTTTATTCTGGAGCTACAATATTTTTGTGGGGAGGGAATCCCAGAGGTGCAGGGTGAAGGGAAAGACACGTCTCTGGCAGGTTGGTTTAAAGACAGAGGCAGCGACCTGCAGCAGCTGAAGCGCCTCGAGGGCTGGGACAGATCTTTGGGCAATGGCTCAGAGCCACGGCAGAATAAAGCTTGGATCAAGAGATGCCGACGGCCCCGCGCAGCGCGGCACACGGAGCACACGCGCTTCCCGGGAGCCTGAGCTATCGGCATCTCCCAGCAGATCCAGCCGTCCCTGGCTTGGAGGTGCTTTCTGCAGGCCGCCGGGGACGAGCGCAGCTTGGGTCACTTCCTATCCCTATTGCCAGGACTCTTGCAGCCCGGAGCCAGGGTCTGGCAATGCTTCACGCCTCTCAGGAGAGAGATGTCAAGCAGACTCGTCCAACCTCCTCTCCCGCTGGCCGTATCCATTCTCATCCACCCCCGCAATTCTTGCTGCATTATTAAGGACGCAAAGGCCAGCGACTGGATGACCCAACAACAAATACTTTTAACACACTGAAATCTCTTTCTGACACAGCTCAAAGGCCTCTGGCCTCTCCCACTGCCTCCCATCAAGCCATCCTGCTTCCAGATTCAGGTCCTGTTGTCCCAGCAACACGAGAGAAATCTGCAAAGCGGGGACCCGGTGCGAGGACAGCACCTAGCAAATGCAGGCAACAAGGTCCCCCCCGCCTTGCAAGTCCTCCCACCTGAAAGCCTGTAGCCCTGAGGAGATAAATCGGGCCCCTAGGATTAGTTTAACTGCTTACCTTCAGACCTGGCTAGAGCTCAGACTTCTCTGCTGAATGTACTAGGTGGACTACATCTCCTGATCTCCCCACAGTGACTTCATTTCAAAAGGACAGCAGCAAATGGAGGGGGACCAATGCGCAGGGTCTCACAAACGCACTCCAGCATCCCCTTCAGCGCAGGCAAGCAGCAAGGTCTGCCAAGGATCAAGCTCTCCGAGTCGATTCCAGGGAGAGGAGGACGTCGGATGCATTTTTGCTGCCTGTACACCTGGGTCAAGCTCTGATAAACCACCCCTGAGACGAATGCATTGCTCAGTGGGTCTGTCTCTCCCTGGGGTGGCTTGTGCCGTCACCTCCATTGCTTTGGAAGCTGCTTTGGATACGGCAATGCACTCAGCACCGAGTCCATTTGCAGACAGAGCTCATGGGACTAAGGGCTTAAATGGGAGATGCTGAAGATAAACATGGTAAGATAAACACGAGGAGAAAAGAATCCCGTTCTAAATATATCCCCGTGGCTGGGGAACTGGTATCCATCACTTGTGAGAGGAGGAGGAGGAGGAGGAGGAGAGCGGGGGGGGGTTCGGAAAGGAGGAAAGCAAGGCTCGCCGGTTTGGGGGAGCCCGAAGCACTCGGAGCGGAGACCGAGCTGAAGGCAGAGTACTCGGCGGGCTTCGGAAAGCGGCAAACACTCCTCTGACAGCACCTGTGTCTGCTCCACCAGACTGTACTGAAGCAAGCAGGCTTGGGACCTACCAGCACACCCTGCTCCCTACGTAGGGAGGAAGCCTCCCTTCCCCTCATACAGCTCTACGAAGCCGTAGGGTGGGCCCTCAGGGTTAAACGTGGTCACCAAACAACTTCTATTCTTCAGCTGGAGCAGCCGTGCTGCCCTAGGAAAGGTTACCACCAAAAGCACAGGCTCGAGGTCTGGCCCGGTTTGGTCGGATTCGTGCCCGGGGCTCCCTGTGGCTTCTCACGAGCCCGGAGGCAGAAGATCCCCGTTTCTGGGGGTCAAATAAAAGAGATGCTCAACACGGCAGATGAAAACACGCATGCCTTTGTGAGTGGAGGGAGGACGTGTGCAGGCTAAAATGCTATTCTCTGGGATCCGGGAGGCTTTGCTGTGGTTTCCATGACAGAGAAGAGCTGCCGACTAGACTTCCTGTAGCTTAATGAATGGGGCTGCATCTTGCAATTTGTATTCATCAATCAAGCCTTGTAACTTCAGCTCAGACCACCTGCTCACGTCCAATGGCTGTGCTTCATTGCACAGGGCACAAGCTGACACGTGACTCCTTGGCAGTAAGTACCGTGCATCTATGTGGCAGGTAGGTACACAGGAAAACCGTGCACTCAGGTTCAATGCAGGCAGCGTGGCTGCTCCAGCCTGACCCGTGACAAAGGTGTGATACTGATCTCCATATTGCTCAGATGCCAGGGTCGTCACCCCCGTGCCTTGTGCAATAAAGCCAGCAAGGCGGCAGTGCTGAAAAGCCTGGGCCTGCACAGCCCAGAGATGAAAGGATTCCAGCTCCCTACCAGACTGCTCACTGATCTTTCTCATCATAAAAGAAGCTACTTTTGTTGGACCCAAAATGAAGTCATAGCACCTAGCGGTTCCCTTTGTGCTCTGTGGCTGTCTGGTGAAAATACAGAGGCAAGAAAGCCTTTGGGGCAACAAGAGATCCTGCTGCAGACCCTGCCAGCTCAGCTAAGTCTGAGTCAGTGTGTGCGAAAGGTCCTACACACACCATGCATGTCAGCACACGTCTGTTTGTCTTGGTGTCTCAGGGAACAGGTATATAAAACAGGTCGGGTGGGGGCACCGACACTCGGGAGCAGGAAAGCATCCGTTTGTAACTGTGCAAGAGAAGCCATGTGGTGAGCTGCTGCACTAGCCGTCCTCTCTCAGCATCTCTCGAGTTTGGTCCAGGCATTCAACGACTACGTATGCACTGGAGTCCTTCCATAGCGTGCAGATCTCCGGCTGGCAGAGGCTGGTTTGAGATACAATCGCTAGTTAACACGAGGGCATCTTCTTCTCAAATATCCCACAGCTGGCAGAAAAAGCGTTGCTGTTTTCATGTCGAAATAAACTTACAGCTGGGTTTGGTTTGTGCAGGTGGACAATGGATCTTTATTTGGTTGCAGTCCCAGATGTGATCGAAACCGTGGAAGAGCTTTTCTTTCCGCCTACGAGCCTTGGCTGGCTTGTGGAATAGAAATGAGGGGTTTTTAAAGTGATCGAGTGCTTCCGTGGCATTCTTCAGTCTCTCCCCACTTCTGTCCACCTTCTGCCCTGGGTCTCAGGTCTCAAAGTACTTGTAGATCTGGGCCACGTACTGCATCACGCTCTGCCAGTCTGGACGATCCGTGTACATCATCTCACTGAGTTCCTGCACGGGATACAAAGACAGTTAAGAAAGGAGCAAAGAGTCCTCAGCAGAGAGCCATGGAAAACGAGGACACCCTGATATACCGCCACTCTCGCAGGAGCAGTGCGGCCTGACTGGGAAGTGGAGCTACTGCAGAATGACAATAGAGACCATTAAATGAGTGCCTCACTTTGCGAGCAACAGTATCCCTCAGCAACGCAATCACAAGCTGCCAGTACAAAAGCCAAGCAGCTATGTAAAGCTATTTAGTTGGGAAATTAGCCCAAACCAAGCCTTTCCTGTTAAACGTTTCAGTTCTGAAACTTCTGAACAGAACACGCTCAGCTGAATTTCTCCCTGGCTCGGCCTCACAGCGCTTTCATCCTGAACAGTAACCACATCCTTTCTTTTCACTACACGAGTTCTTGTCTCCCCAGGCCCAGATCGCAGCAAAATCCTATTGTGCTAAGAGCATCATCCGGGGGGGGAGAAGAAAGCAGGTGTTTGTCCAGCCAGAAGTCAGTCCCTGCACTGGCTCTGCGCTGCACAGCGTTACTTCTCTACAGTTACACTCCTACAGTTCAAAGCTGCCGTCCCACGGACCGGTTTGTCCTTGGCTCTTTGCAGGTGAGAGGCCTGGGGGAGAAACATGTCTACATCTCCACTTGGAAAAGCTGAACTGCCATGCGCCGAGTCCAGCGAGGACAGGTAAAGAGGACCGGGCAATCGGAGCCCGCTGAGACGAGTCAGTACAGACCGGTCAGTCATGTAACACCCTATCCCAAACTAAGCTCCCAGCTGGCTGCCCCCCAGCAAGTACGCAGAGTCTCCGTGGATCAGCGCGCGCGGGGGGCCCTCCGCATGGCTCCGTGCAGAAGTGGGGGGTCTCAGACTCAAAGAAACGTGGCTGACAGGTTGACAGCACCCTTGCACGGTTGAACCTCAGGCCTCCCTGCTCTGTCAGCCACACGCTCCCTCTAAGATTGCACCCATTATGGTGAACGCAGGGCTTGCAGTTCTCCACCGTGGAGCATCTGTGCCGCAGGAGTGGACAGAGCCCTTCAACTGACTTAACACACACCCCCTTTTAGTCACCGCTCACCTGTGCCAAACCTGTGCTCGTGACCCAAGGACAAAAGGCTCCATTGCTCTCTGGGCCACGCTGTGATGGAGGCATGTGACCCGGGTCTGGTCTACACCATGTTTTGTTGGCATTGCTATGCTAGAGACTAGCTAACCCCTCTCCCTAACTGGCGTCACCAGTGCTTTTCCCAGGAGCGTTTAATTTGATCTGGAAAGTGGGATAAACCACACTGGCTAAATACCTCTTCGCAGTGGAAACAGGGTCTGCACCCGAAGGGGGTGCTGGTCCAGCTACGTTTGCAAGCCCTAGCGTGGCAGGGTGAGACGAAATCTGCTCAGCTCAGCTATGCTAGCACAGGCCCGGCGATATCAAGAGGACTGCCCCGTGTAACAGAGCAGTATTTGGGCTCCACGTCGTTAGATCCTTGCAGTACAATATGAGGCACTGTTTTGTATAGTGCTTTGAAAATACAAAGCACTACATAAAGACTAAGGAGAGTCAATGCCATCTTAGCGTCTCCACCCTCAGGTCTCAGGGTCCTGTGAATTTTTGGAGAAAGTCGCTTTCTGATCTCCAGCCACCTTAGCCGGCCAGAGCTGATGCCACAGCCTTCGTGTGAGAACACGCGAGAACGGAGTCTGCGATGAGTCTGGTCTTACTAGCAACACTGAGCATAGGCTACTATAGCCAGGAATAACAGGGGATCTGTTGGATAGCTGTTTGTGTGCTGGCAGACATTCCTGGGAGCAAAGACCAGCTTAGCTTAACTGAGAGAGGGGGCAGAAAAATTCTGACACAACCGGTTCTTTTCGCCTAATTTGCTGATTCAAGGAAATCCCAGATGTGCCGCTGAGGCCAGGCTGCTCTGAAGCTCTTCAGGAGCACCAGCAGCTTCCAAACCCAAGCCAGCGAACCCCCAAGCTTCCCCAGTCTGTGGCTTCAAGGTGAGCCGCCAAGCAGCCCTGCACCCTACCCCTTGCAGTGTGCGAGGCCCAGGCCCCACCACTAAGATGTGGGGAGAAGTGGGCACGCTAGAAGGGAGGGACAGGCTGCAATCGGATCTGGACAGGTTCCAGGGGTGGGCAGATGAGAACAGGATGGGATTCAACACTGACAAGTGCAAGGTGCTGCACCTGGGAGGAAGAATCAGCATCACACCTACAGCTCAGGGAACTCCCTTCTCGTCAGTGCAGAGACGGAGAAGGATCATGGAGTCATTATTGATGCCAAAATTAACATGGGCCGACAGTGTGGGGACGCGGTCAGGAAGGCCAACCGCACCTTGTTGTGCATCCACAGATGCATC